GGGCTGGACATATGCAACAACCATCTCACTACTAGTGGTCGGTGAAATATTTTCATCCTGTATTATAATTTTGATAACAAAAGATGAAGAAACTATATATATCAATGAGACATGTGTCAGTGGATCTATAGACTAGTACTGTTTTTCATCATGATCATGCCAGTCAACACATACATTTATAAAACTACAGACATTTCATGAAATGGTGTTCACATGTTGCAGGTTGAATAGTTTGTAGCTATATTAGTCTCTTGCAACATTCATCGATTGATACCTTGTTGCAAAACTGTCATTCAGACCACCATTTTAAAACCTTGGCTTTACTCAATACAAATTGACATGCAATTTTGCTAACCAAATATCAGTGACTCAAGTGAAAACCTACACTGAAATGACATCTTATTTGCAGTGAACCATATATAATTTATCACCAATTTTTTTTAATGGCAATAATTTTCACAGGGAATCATTTCAAATGTTCATGGAATAGTGTTCCTGATAGGTATGCAGACCATACTCAAATAATGGGACCAACAAGTTTTGAAAATAACTATGAAACACTTTTGAATCAGTGTACATTGCTATGAGCAGGTGTACCTGCAGATCATATAGGACATACAATCTTTATTCCTATTTATAATATTAGTTACAGGAGCAACTCCTATGACAACATTGCCATTATTAGCTGCAGGTGAACCTGGTGAGCCAGGAGGTCCAGGTGGACCAGGAGGACCTGGTGGGCCAGGTACGTGAAATATCCTATATTAGCAATACCATTATTCATTTTGATGTGTTGTTTTCTTCACATCAGATGCCAAGAGATTATAGTTGTTTGACGAAAAAGTATTTATAAAGTATGAATAAAAATTTATTAAACAATATAATTTATGCTAGATCGTTAAATTATAATAGGTTGTGGTAAATTGATTGTGTGTTCATATATTTGCATGACTAATTTATACCATAGAACTTGTGTTTCATTGTTATAATCTTTTTCTATCAATACATTAAAAGTAAAGTGTACAAATAATAAAATGCAATTGCTCAGTCATTGGACATTTTCAAAATATATCATTCACATGCTTTCTAAGTGTAAAATATTGTTATTGAATATATTGTATTTAAATACATTATCATGGAACAGAATTACAAATTTGCTACCCAATGACAAAATTATGATATTGACATTCTTGCTTAGTGAAAAGAGTAATATTTGTTAAGATATTGTTATTGTAACAGTTAGATTTTGAAGTTTTATCAACCTTAATTCTATTATCTATGTCCAAATGTTGTAGATGGACCTGGGGGGACCCAATGGACTGGTGGTCCTGGTGGACCTACATTGGAACCAGCATACGTCAAAGAACCTGGTGAACCTCTGGGTCCTGATGGACCAGGAGGTCCAAATGGTCTTGGAGGACCACTTGGACCTGGAGGCCCAGGTGGACCAGGAGGACCTGGTGGCCCTGGAGGCCCTGGTGGACCAACCATCGGTACAGATGAAACTATTCCAACTGATATAGGCAAACCGGGAGGTCCTGGTGGACCTAGGGGGCCTGGTGGACCTGGAGGGCCAGGAGGACCTGGTGGCCCTGGTGGACCGGGTGGACCTGATGGGCCAGGAGGACCAAATGGACCTGGAGGGCCAAATGGGCCTGGAGGACCCAATGGACCTGGAGGACCTGGTGGGCCAACACCAACACCTGAAGAGGAAGAACAGATACCAACAGACATTGGAAAACCTTTAGGGCCATTGGGTCCAGGGGGACCTGGTGGCCCAGGAGGCCCTGGAGGTCCAGGGGGACCAGGTGGACCTGGAGGGCCAGATGGGCCAACTCTAGCTACAGATGTAACTCTTCCTGAAGACATTGGCAAACCTGGTGGACCCGGTGGTCCATTTGGACCAGGAGGACCATATGGCCCAGGAGGGCCTGGTGGACCATTTGGACCAGGTGGTCCTGGCGGACCAGGGGGACCTCCATTAACCACGAGTGAGTACCACTCTTATGCACTGATGTACTTAATGTTCATGTAATGTTTGTTGTGAATGTAACAGTAATTACAAAAATCACTCCTAAACATTGATTATTTTCTTTCACCAAAATCCAATGACAATAGTGATTGCATTCATTTGTTTTGAACCAATTTGTAAGCATTAAATAGATACAAGATCAAAGAAATATATGAGTTTTAGAAAATGATTTCATAGTGCAACACTCGAATGATAATTGCATGTGTAGGTGTTCCTGCTGATTATGTAGGAAATACTAACTTTATTCCTATTTATAATATTAGTTATAGGAGCAACTCCCATGACAACATTGCCATTATTAGCTGCAGGTGAACCTGGTGAGCCAGGAGGTCCAGGTGGACCAGGAGGACCTGGTGGGCCAGGTACGTGAAATATCCTATATTAGCAATACCATTATTCATTTTGATGTGTTGTTTTCTGCACATTCAGATGCCAAGAGATTATAGTTGTTTGACGAAAAAGTATTTATAAAGTATGAATAAAAATTTATTAAACAATATAATTTATGCTAGATCGTTAAATTATAATAGGTTGTGGTAAATTGATTGTGTGTTCATATATTTGCATGACTAATTTATACCATAGAACTTGTGTTTCATTGTTATAATCTTTTTCTATCAATACATTAAAAGTAAAGTGTACATATAATAAAATGCAATTGCTCAGTCATTGGACATTTTCAAAATATATCATTCACATGCTTTCTAAGTGTAAAATATTGTTATTGAATATTTTGTATTTAAATACATTATCATGGAACAGAATTACAAATTTGCTACCCAATGACAACATTATGATATTGACATTCTTGCTTAGAGAAAAGAGTAATATTTGTTAAGATATTGTTATTGTAACAGTTAGATTTTGAAGTTTTATCAAGCTTAATTGTATTATCTATGTCCGAATGTTGTAGATGGACCTGGGGGACCCAATGGACCTGGTGGTCCTGGTGGACCTACATTGGAACCAGCATACGTCAAAGAACCTGGTGAACCTCTGGGTCCTGATGGACCAGGAGGTCCAAATGGACTTGGAGGACCACTTGGACCTGGAGGCCCAGGTGGACCAGGAGGACCTGGTGGCCCTGGAGGCCCTGGTGGACCAACCATCGGTACAGATGAAACTCTTCCAACTGATATAGGCAAACCGGGAGGTCCCGGTGGACCTATGGGGCCTGGTGGACCTGGAGGGCCAGGAGGACCTGGTGGACCTGGTGGACCGGGTGGACCTGATGGGCCAGGAGGACCAAATGGACCTGGAGGGCCAAATGGGCCTGGAGGACCCAATGGACCTGGAGGACCTGGTGGGCCAACACCAACACCTGAAGAGGAAGAACAGATACCAACAGACATTGGAAAACCTTTAGGGCCATTGGGTCCAGGGGGACCTGGTGGCCCAGGAGGCCCTGGAGGTCCAGGGGGACCAGGTGGACCTGGAGGGCCAGATGGGCCAACTCTAGCTACAGATGTAACTCTTCCTGAAGACATTGGCAAACCTGGTGGACCCGGTGGTCCATTTGGACCAGGAGGACCATATGGCCCAGGAGGGCCTGGTGGACCATTTGGACCAGGTGGTCCTGGCGGACCAGGGGGACCTCCATTAACCACGAGTGAGTACCACTCTTATGCACTGATGTACTTAATGTTCATGTAATGTTTGTTGTGAATGTAACAGTAATTACAAAAATCACTCCTAAACATTGATTATTTTCTTTCACCAAAATCCAATGACAATAGTGATTGCATTCATTTGTTTTGAATCAATTTGTAAGCATTAAATAGATACAAGATCAAAGAAATATATGGGTTTTAGAAAATGATTTCATAGTGCAACACTTGAATGATCATTGCATGTATAGGTGTTCCTGCTGATTATGTAGGAAATACTAACTTTATTCCTATTTATAATATTAGTTATAGGAGCAACTCCCATGACAACATTGCCATTATTAGCTGCAGGTGAACCTGGTGAGCCAGGAGGTCCAGGTGGACCAGGAGGACCTGGTGGGCCAGGTACGTGAAATATCCTATATTAGCAATACCATTATTCATTTTGAGTGTGTTGTTTT